ACGACGGATGGAGGCTCCCCCAGCGATGGGTCACCGCCCCCTCCGCTGCCACCCAGGGTCATCGCTTTTAAATCGGTATCCCTGTGCAGAACGCGACGCCGCGAGAAGCGCGGAGCGATTGGATCCATCTCATCAGACGGCGGTAGCCCTGGGCTCCGACCAAGGATCCGCTCAGGCTCGGATGGGTCAGACCCATTAGGCGGACTGAGTTCGTCGACGGCTGCAGGCTGGTTTTGATATATGGTGATCGTTATATTTCAACGCTGCCTTAACCGTTAATGCGCCGCTCTGCAGACGCTTTCAATAGTGGAACAACAGGACGGAAGTTATGCTCCATTTTTACTTCCGTGGCACATGTTTTGCAATGGAACTGTAGGGGCACCTGAGCTAATACACATGACCTTCGTGTTCTCGTGAACCAGCGGCTTCCTGTGACGATCTGTCTTCAAGAAACGAAAGTGCAGCCGGACGCTCAATGTACAATGAAAGGCTACTCGGTGTGCTGTAAATATGGGCCACCGAACGCGGTCGCGTGCCGCGGCGCTCTTTTAGCTATTCAACACAGTGTGTCAGTCCATCAGTTGGTGCTCCACACCCCTCTCCACGCCTCAGCAACTCCGGTCCATTTAACCACAGGCATATCACGGTGTGTCCATTGTAATTGTCGCCTGGCGGTGCTTTTCCTCTGGTTGAACTTAGCCGTTTGGTGTTTGGACTACTCTCGCCTTTAATTATTTTAGACGACTTCAACGCGCACCGCACAGTATGGGGCTGCGCTCACACCAACTCTCGTGGACGGCTCTGTGAACAGTTTGTACAGCATAAGTCGCCGTGTCTCTCAAACAACGAAACTCGGGTGCATGTAACGCTGCCTTCTGGTCAAACTTCTCGTATTATCTTGAGCCTTACGAGCCCACAGCTTATGCGGCGTAGAACATGGGCTGTTGGCAACGATCCCATCGGCTGTGGCATTTCCCAGTGTGGCTTGGCTTTCCAGGATGCATCTATTCTTGGGCCGCTGTCGCAGATATGAGATCTAAGATCAGTCGACTGGTTTGAACACCGAGTGGACACACTGCTACCAGCTGACCCACTGACGGAGCCTGTAGCTGCTAACATCCCCACGTCTCTGCCCCTGAGTGTCGCCAATCACCGCACTCCTAGAACCACCGGACCACATCCCCACACCCCAGCTCCATGGTGGACTGAGGGATATCGCACTGCCATTGCGCATGCCGACGTACCTTTGAGCGCGTTCGATCGTAGCAGTGCTGCGGTCAACCGGATTGCCTTCCGGAAAGCGAGAGCGGCAGCGAGACACACCACTCGGAATACGAAATGTGTTTCCTGGAGAGAATGCGTCGGTAAAGTTGACCGGCTCGCCCCGACATCAGAGGTGTGGTCACAGGTCAAACGCCTGTCAGGCCGGTTTTCTTCCACCCCGCTGACAATGGTGTGTGTGGATGGTCAAGATGGCGACGTCAGACCGGTTTTCTTCCGCTCCGCGGACAATGCCGCGCGTGCATGGTCAAGATGCCGTGCACCCCGAAGATGCAGCCAATGTCATCGCTGACGATTTGGCGGAACGCTGCCGAGCTGGGACCAACAATCTGCGGTTTTTGCGCCACGAATCTCACTCCGAGACGATGCCTGTAAATTCCGCCGCGTCCGAAGAGCTCAGCCGCAATCTGCCATTCCCCATGAATGACCTTAAGGCGGCTATTGCTACTCAACGGAGCGTGTCAGAAAGCCCAGATAGCATTCACAACGAAATGCTCACTGGTCACGGATCTCGCAGGTGAGCCGCATCCCGCAAAAACTCTCCGGTCGATAGGCGGCTCCGAAACGGACACGGCCGTTGGTTCCGCATTTGTTTGTAGCCACGACACGCGATTATTTACGTCGCCAGTCCGTGTGTCCTTTTATATGGCGGAGCTTGTAGCCATCATTAAGACGCTTTGTGGTCGAAAAGGTGGTGTTCGAAGAGAGTCTGCACGTGATTTTATCGAACTCACTGAGCAGTCTTTTGGCATTAACATTTTTACGCGGTAGATCTGCTTAGGGCCCATAAATAAGATTTAAGATACTTATTGGTCGGAAAAACCAGGGGAGTGGATAAATAGATTGGTTGATATTTCGGCAACATGCCTTTATCGAAACAAAAGCAGAAGTGAATTAAGAATTACCTGCAAATGATCTTATTCGATTTTCAGGGATTTTTAAAGCAGCAAGTCAAGGTTTTTACAGGACACCTACCTTTCAGGGGTTACAATAAGTGCGATTGCCATCCATTGCCACGATACAGTGCACATCTGAGAGCTAGGATACACGAAAATACGTGTACATGCAAATGAATTCAAGCCAACAGGCATCACGCATCACACTTCATCCAAACATGCCAGCGATTTGAAGTGAATAGGCATCACACATCGCGCACCAAATATATGTGCAAGCGATTTCAATTGATCGGATTGCATAATCGGCCATGATGAGCCATGTACGTCAAGATTTGGTCGTCTACTTTTTATAAGAGCAGATTCACTTATTTTCCTGTCTAGGTTGTCCTGTGCTCTGTAGATGACTTTGAGCTCTAAAATGGCCATATGGTCCATACCTCCGTCGATTTGAGCCCGAGCGTGTTTTTCCAAAAACTGGTCACCGAAAATGGTATTCCATGTTTTATTTTTAGAGTCTCGCAGGTGTTCATTATGTCTCAAACGAATAGGGCGCATGGACTCCCCGTCATAGAATATGTCCCTGCCATGTTTTTCACATAGTTTACACTTGTTATCGTAAATCACGTTTTTTGAAGTGCAAACCCCTCGAAACCCAGACCTGCATAAATGAAAATTATTGCTACCCGAAAGCTTTGGCTTCGAGATGGAAGATTTCACCAGATACTTTTTTGGCTTACTGTCGTTCTTCCAAGCTGTGCGTACTCACAGTTTTGATGTTTTACGATGCGTTTAATTTTCCAAAGCAAATGCTCATCTATGCAAGGTAGCGTTAAGAATCCGTCATCCGATAGGACGTGTTCCCGCCTCCCACCACCCATCTCTCCACGCGCTCTATACGTTTTTGTTTCTTCCAACATTGTACCTAAAAGTCGCCGAGAATATCCATTGCGAAACAGCAAAGTCCATATTTTGTTTATGCTCTTTCTTTCCTTTTCACTACCTGATGAGTTGTTTGGAGCCTTATGGAATGTGTTACGAATTATGTTGTGGTTAGTGGAAGTTGGATACGCAGACTCGCAGTGCAGAATTATGCCAGAGTTGGTTGGCTTGATAAAGAGCTCCCCTTCTAACGCTGTGCAGTTGTTCCTCCTTTCCACCGTTACTAACGTATTCAGATATGGGACCCACTTTCCGCCCCCATATGCTCCATCGTAAAAGCTAGATTTGGATGCTGGTTGTTCATGAACTCTAAAAACTCTTCAAGGGCACGCTGTCCGTGCGTCCATACCCCAGCATAATCATCGATGTATCTAGCTAAGACAGTTGGTTTTAATGGGCTGGCGGTCAGGGCGTTCGTTTCCAACTGGTCTAACAATATCGCCAGAAATATCGCCAGAGAACGAGTGCGTGGCTTCCCCATTGCTATTTCCAACTTTCAAACCATATGAAAAGAGGATATATATATATATATATATATATATATATATATATGCACATATAAGAGGGCTCTTGGAGCAGTGTCTCCATGATGACGTTTTCTCGTTCGGATCTACCGACAAAAATTGTTCTTGTTGGCGCGCTCTTAAGCTCCAATCAACAACAACAATTTTTGTCGGTAGAAGTCATCTCCGAACGAGAAAATGTTATCATAGAGGCACTGCTCCAAGAGCCCGCAGATATCCTCTTTTGATAGACCGAAACCATCAACTTCATTGAAATGTTTGTCTACCTTAGCTCTCACAGAAGCGATAGCCTCATTGACTGGTATATTGCCATATAAATTGACATCTACACTGAAGAATCTGCTACCATCAGGTAACCCTTCTGCCTGCGAATGATTAGAGACATTTTTAAAATAGATAAGACAGTAGTATTAGCCCTATCCCCCGGAAAAACCAGGAGAACGGAGGTATAGTTAGGTTGATATTTCGGCAACATGCCTTTCTCGAAACAATGGCAGAAGAAAGCCTTGGTTAAAAGTCTCTGGTGTCCCACAGATGAGTGGGAATAAACCTGAAGATCTGGTTGAGTACTTTCTCTAAAAGACACGAAGCTTTTTTCTGTAGAACCGCTGCACGCCGATATGACAGGTCTGAGGGGCGCTGCAGGTTTGTGATCTTTAGGCAGCCCATAGAATACAGGCGTTCTTATGTGTCTATATGTCAAATCTTTGATAAGTAGACGATAAGAAAGACCACAGATATCCTGTTTTGATAGACCGAAAGCATCAATTTCATTTAAATGTTTGTCTAACTTAGCTTTCACGGCAGCGGTAGCCTCATTTACCCCGTTTACATGAGTCAACCAAAAGGACAATTTTGCGACGATTAGAAAAAAGGCGCAGTTTCTGCTCATGTAAACGGGTTTCAGCGACGCCGCGCCAGCCACACATCGTATCGTAAATTTGCGATGGTGGGAGAGGAAATTTACGGTAAGCCTAGATCACCTACAGATAACGATGCATACCGCTGGTGTTTTCGTGCATGTTTTGAGAAAAATGGTTAAGTCTGACAACAATAGGTCGCAAAAGAATACAAAAATCAGAAAAAAGCTGACTGAAGTCAGATTAATCCATTACTTAAGCCAAAATATTAATCTGAGCTATTCTTAGACGAAAGTGCGTTTTGTAAATTGTACATGTCCCCATCGCGCCTTTCGGCCGCTTTGTCACGGATTTCGGCTTCGCGCGACGAGCTAGGGGGGAGATTTTGGGCTGGGGTCGACGGCGTCTCATGGCTTTTTTGCCTGTGAATTAGTTTTTTGTCTTAACCCGCTTGTGTAAAGGTGCTTTATCGAAGTTGTAAAACATGCGTCATTGGACGCCGCAGGAAGAGCGGGTGATGCTGGCCATTGTTCAGGAGAAGGGGCTTCTGTCGGCCATCGATGGGAGAAAAGTGCGCAACGTGCAGGTTAGTATGGTCACGTGGCACGTACATGCACTCACGCACACGATATACAACATCTGTGCAAGCTATTAAGCTATTGCATGTTTTAGCAATAGTTTAATAGCTTGCACAGATGTTGATAGATACAAAACTTAAGCAGGTTGATGGTTTCGGGTTGTTCCATCAACTGTGGTCACCTAGACTCAATGGTACCATTTGGAAGGAATGTGCTAACATCTTGGAACGATATTATGATGTGGCATGTACATTAGTATGTGCTGCCTGCAAGACAAAGTTACATCATGCAGGGTAGTTTTGGTATCCTGATGTGCATTTAAACATAGTGTGCATTGCTCCTATTGTGGTGGGCTCCTTATGGTCATAGTGATGTTGTGAAAATGATCAAAGAACACCTTCATTGATTTGTATTCAGGACTGCAGCTAAGCTGTATTAGTCCAAATTCATTTGGGTCTTGTGAGTTGGCTCCAGGATGGGGAAACAACTGTTTCATCAGTTTTGAAATGCATCCTGGAGTCTTTTAACAATATCCTTGGTTCACAATAGTCATTAGTCATATATGCAAAGCATACCTGCACTGGGGGCAAGCCAGTCTGTTGAAAAAAATTCATCAGCATTATCAATCATTTTTGTAAGCTTGTTAAAACTGGCTTACACAAATCAAGTGATAAGCAATATACATTGTCTTGTATCTTGCACCCCTTGTCCTGTATCTTGCACCTTTTGGCTCAGTCGCTGGGGGTGCCTGTCAGAGTCTGTTCCATTTCTTGATCACTGCTGCTAAAGCTGTGATGTCTTAAAACTTTCAATGTCTGTGTTTTAACTAATTTTAGGGAATGGCTGCTTACTGGTCTTTCTTTGAGCTGTTCCATACAGGATTTGATGTGCTGTGATTACATCACCCCTCATTTTCTTGTAGTTCAGGGATGGGTGCTTTAGCTTCATTGACTTTTCTTTGTAATGTAGATGACTGATATTTGGGATAAGTCAAGTAGTTTTTCTCTACACTCATCAGCTCCTGGTCATCTATCTATGCTCTTCTATATAATGAGCAACTATCACTGTGACAAGTGAAATTAAGCACATCATTGGCAGCTGTGCCTTAGGATTGCAGAGGTATCTTGCCATATACATGGCTTGCATGATATAACATTGGGCCTGCATGGTTAGTTTTGAATGCTGAGCTAAAGGAAGCTTACAGGAGTAATGCGCATGACCCATGCCATCTACCTGTGCATCTACCCATCTACGTTCACTCTGAAGGTCAAATGGAAGTCATGGTTAGGAGGATAGCCATACAAAGAAAATTATTATTTTGTTAAGTGAGGCTCTATTCACATAGGCTCAGCATGCATCAAACCTCTCAATGTCGAATGAAGTGAGCAAAAATTTCAACTGACCCTTTGCTGATTGTCACTTGGCCTTTCACAGGCTGTGATAGGCCATGTCATAGGCCATGCCTTTCATGCAAGGTGTAAGATGTGCAAAGTGTAAGAGCATAGCCAAAAGTGGTGAAGGTGAATGATAACCCAACAGATAAGCAAAAGATTGAACACAGTCAGGCATATTTATGCTAGCCACATTGGATGTACTGTCCTTTTTCAGGTATTCCAATGCATATCTGAGTCCCTGGTGGAGAAGGGCCACGACCGTCCGTCTGAAATGTGGAGAAACAAGCTGAAGGCCATAAGAAATAAGTACAATAACTTTAAGACGAGGCAGGGTCGGTCCGTAGCTAGAGTACAAGACCTTGCCAACAAAGACATCCTCCAGGAGCTCCTGGGAGGACGACCAGCGGCCAACGTGGCCTGCAGCGGCAGTGGAATTGACGTTCGAGCACGTGGAGGACGCATCGGACGGCGAGATAATCAGAGCACGCGCGCCCTTATATTCGTGTGATGTTATTACCCCGCACGCTAACGTGTCACGCTGGTTGGGGCCACCCTTGAAGCCCTTGAATGTCTCAACATCAAGTGCCACCGGGGAGAGCGGGGCCTATCTCCAGGAGGTCATGATATTCAGCAACCCAATGACCCGTTTTCCGCGAACCGTGTTGAGCGCGCCTGATGGGTGAACCCCTTGGCGCATGCGCACTATCTGACTGCGACATTTTGGGCGTATGGTGGCCACCGCGGCTGAGTTTCCACAAATTAGCCGTTTCCTGCGTTTAGTTTCGGACGGAAAGTGCTTTGCCAAACCAGGTGGGCAGAAGATCAGGTGTTTTCTTATCCGGTTTGTAATATTTGCAATCAACTCCATCTTATGCCTTTTATATACCTTTTGTGCTGCACTGTGATTTCAGGAGATCCAGTTGTCATCTTCCGTGGCCAAGGGATCGCGCCCCTCCTCAACACCGACGACACGTCGACCATCGCCGAAGACGTGCCGTTTCTGGGGGAGGGTGACGATGATGCCATCGTCTCAGAAGTGATTAGCCGACCCGCGTCACTGGAGTCGCTCCCAACTGCCTTCGTCCCATCGTCGCCTCGGAGTTCGTCCACTGCACCCAGTTCCCGCTCTTCCATATCTCTGCCCCCATCACACTCCGGCATTTCCACATCCCAGGCTTCCATCTCACCGCGGCCCGTCCACACCACATCCCGGCTCGTCCACCCCGATCCGCGGCCCACCCCGATCAACTAACACCTCAGCCCACGCCCCAGCCTGGCCCATCAACGTCTCATCCCGGTCCATCCACACCTCGCCCCGGCCCATCCACGTCTCGTCCCAGCCCATCCATGTTTCGCCCGGCCCATCCGCGCCTCATCCCGGCCCATCCGCACCTCATCCCGGCCCATCCGCGCCTCATCCCGGCCCACCCGCACCTCGTCCCAGCTCTCAGCCCGTGCCTCATGATCCGGCTCCTTCATCATCCTCATCATCTGGCTCTGGTCGCTCCTCTGAGCCAACGGACATCCAGCCCCGCCAGCGCCACCCGACAAGACTTCAAACGCCTGTCAGCCCCTCCAGCCTGTTGGGCGGCGACGATGGTTTGAGTGGCACCCCCGGGCCGCTCAACAGCGTCAGGCCCGTCGCCGAGCCGCGTACTCCCACCGTGACAGGATGGTGGCCTCCTTGGAACGGGGCGAAGAGCGAGCCGCAAGGAGGGAGGAGGCGCGTGACGTCAGGGAGGACACTTTTAAGGAGGCCCTGCTTGAGGGGATGCGGGCAGGCCGGACATTGCTGAGAGAGGCCGTATGTGCCATGCAGGCTATCGCCGCCACTTTCCGCTGGCCAGAGCACGAGCGCCGCCGTGGCCGATCGCGCTCCTGCTCGCCACGCTGAGGCATCATTTCGGTACAACCGCCATGTATCGGGCGAAGAGTAGGACGGTTACAGCGGTCCTTGCTTCCGAAAGTGCCACGCGGGAATATACGTTGTTTAATTACATGTTTACAGGCTGGTCAACATGCAACGTCGAGCTAAGTGTCGCGTTGGGGGCTGCCATCGCAGCCGCGCCAGAACGGCTAACAACCAACGGAGTTCTTCGGAGCCACGAGAAACGTCGCCAGCATAAGCCGCTCTGATACAAAAAAGGCGGGTCAAGACAGCCTAGCGCAAATCGCTCCTAAAGTGGCATATTACACTTATCGACTGGCAAGGCGCAAGCTTGACTGTCTCAACGGGTAGTTCCTGGCCAGGTATGACCTGATAGCATTCCTCGCATCCTTTGCCCTAGCCTCGTAGCACGCCATATGGTATCGCCCGCTGGGCTGGGGATACTGGCGGGCTATTGCAATCGTGGGAAGCCAAGCCTCGTGGGAAGCCTCCCGCTGCGACTGCAACAATTGTGCAGAATGCAACACGCTGTCACAGCCAGCGGCACGTGCAAAAAGTCCATATCAATTCGTTTCTGCAGCTTGCGCCACCCCTTCAGTCGCCTGAAAGCGCACTCGATTACCATGCGACCAGCACCATGGTACACATTAAGAGACTCCTCCTTAGCTTCCAAACGCTGCTGATTGGCCGTTAACCCTCGGAACCTGGCAGATGCGAGGGCCTGAGCATAAGGCTCCATCAGCCACGGCTGCAGCGGGTATGCCGGATCGCCGAGAAGACTAAGCTGTGCCGGCACGCCTTCAATCAGTCTCGGTTCCTGAAAAGGATACGATTGTATTTGTTGATGAGTTTGGACTGGCGTGCACTTGAGCAACTGGCGGCTCAAGCCTTGAAAAGTACACTGGCAACTCTCAAAATACAAAATACATGTACACCAAAACGGAAACCCGCAGTGCATTATAATCGCAATGAAGGAAGTGCGTTTGCGACACAACACGTTTTCCTCACTACCTTCGATCCAAAGGCAGATAGTCGCTGAAATCTGCAGAACCGTGTGGAGACGTTCTGACCTTTGGCAGCCGCTCGCACTACCGGTACAGGGCGGTTGTAGCCAGCACACTCGCGTCGTGCCAGCTGCCGCAAGACCCACAATTCACGCTACGGAGCCTGGAAAAGAGTGCTTTAAACTAGGTATTTCCCTGCATGGCTTCACAAAACAGGCGGCACACTACGTGCGTGAAGCCCGGTTATTTTTGCGCACCATTGTGGTGAAAAATGACGGGGGCGAATGTCGCCGCAATAAGACGATGGCGCCGTAGCTATAGAACCTTCCGTATCTATTGTTCATTTCACGTTCGCCAGCACTGGATCTACGCGATCTGCGCGGTCATTAGGTCCGTGTACCACAGGATAGCAATATGCCTTTCAGGGAACGAACGAATGACTGGTTGTTAGCGGGTAATTTATGCCAGGCTGCTGAGCATGGCCATTGCAGCGACTTATACTCACAGGTACCGGTCACCGCACACGGCTTGCAACTGCACAGAAGGCCAGCCCTTGCGGTTGACGTAATCCCGGTGACCGTCGCTGGGAGCGGTAACAGGGATATGTGTGCCGTCTATTGCCCCACACGCTCGCGGAAAGCACCACTTCTCCTCCCAGCGTTGGGCTATGTCAATGGCTTCGGTGGCGGGCGGCATCTGGATGTAATCCCGCATGCCTTCTACCACCGCATTGCAAAGTCCTAAGAGATGTTTGCGCACCTAACATAATGAGGATTAATTAATCTACGGTTTTCGACAGCAATGGCACGGAAACAACGGATACAAGCAAAGGATAATACCGAAATACAAAAACAATGCATCTTGCTTTGCCCATGGCATCTTGTTGCACCAGATATTCGGGAAAAGGGCTTGTAATAGAGCGGGAACAAAGCATAAAGAGAGGGGGAGGAGAGTTTTTGATAGCGAAGCGTTACACCCAGATGTGGTTGTAAATCATGCGTAACTATTTCAGTGAACAATCGAGCATTACAGCTTTGTGGAGGATGCTCCTATCAATGTTATATAAGAATGCTGGTAAATTACCATAAAGAGATAATAAGTCTGCTTGTATACCATGAATTCCTTGCCATTTACTTCTGTGAGCCGAACTGATTCGCAGTTACCCGGTACTCCATGCTGCTCGCTAGGTTATATAAAGCCATTGCTGCCCTTTCTTCCAAAGGCATGGGCTCCCGCACTGTAGTTGGCCGAGGTTCCATCCTATGGCGCACGAGCTCGACCAGCTTCATAAAGGAGCCTTCGGTCATGCGAAAGTTCTGGAGTCACCGATCATGATCCCGTGCCTGCAAGCCGTGTAAAATCTGGTTGTGCATTAGACTAATGTATGGGCTTTATAGCAAAGCTTGCCGAGGCTTCAACAAGCACTCAACCAATGATAGCAAGCTATGTGTCGAGGGCTTTGGCTAATGGAAAAGTGGAGTGACCTCCAGCATGGTTTGCATTGGACAAATGCATGTCATGAATGCTTTTTGCTCACAGCCAAGTCTTACATAGGAGGAGGCAAAGGCTTTGTAAAGGATCATATGGAAAGTATAGAATGACACCATGCTTGCAAAAACTTTGATGAGTTGGTTTTATGGCAAGAAAAGCCATCCATTAGTCATAATAAGGGGGACAAAGGTTTCCAAGTGGGATGCAGAGCACTTCAGAGAACACCCCTGGAACAAAGTTATGACACTACAGCACAAATGAAATCTGGGGGAATCATTCAAATATGTTATTCATAACAGCACAAATACCTAGCCGCCATCATAATGCCTTTGATCCAAACATGTTGCATAGCAAAATACATTTCCCAAACTCCATATTTTTCATGCTCAGGCTGAACAGCAATCATTCTGGCAATTTGGGGTTGACGATAGTTATCGTAACACACAAGTGTCAACAAAATACATAACTGAGCTCACTGGACTTCAAATACATCGAATAAACAGAGCAATTAACTTAACGTTTTGTTTGATAGGTATACAATTTTGATTGGACTTCTCATGAGTATGAAGCACCCTTTTTTGAGCATGGGATTGCAGCTCTGGATCACAACATTATGTCACCTAACAAAATTATCTGCCCCCACAACGCTGTTTATAGTTTATGTGTAGTTTAACTGTTAATACGGGGTGCAACCACAATCAAGAAGGTGAGGAAGTTAGCACTGGTCCACAATGCAGCATAATGTGTATGAATGAAGCAGCATGCATGATCGCAAGGTCACAAAGAAGGAGACATTCCGTCACTCAGACAATAAAAACCTAACTGTAGACAGCACTCAGAAAAAACACACCACCCTGCACCACTTCTTGATGGAGCCACGGCTTGCGGACTCTGGGCAGTCTCCATCTTCTTCCTCCATGCAGAGTCTGTCTTTGAACTCGGTGCAGATCCAGAACGCAGCTAACGATATGGCGTCTTCTTCTCCTTAACTGAGTTATGGTACGAGACCCTCTGCCGCCTCCGCTCCTCTCATTAATGGCATGAACACCCTTTTGATATTGCAACATATGTTTGGCACACAACCATACCAAAAGTACGGCTTGAGCCAAGTACAATTCCGCCATTCCAACGATCTCTGTTTAATTACCGCCCACCACCTGCAATCTAGGCGCGAAATGCACGCTTTCAGTTGTGGTCCAGTATGCCATTTTCGTCGCACTTGCGCCAGAAATGCAAAAATAACGCCAAAAGATCGCAAATTTCCATGGTAACGCGTCAAGCGCTAATCGCAAATTTACGATAAATTTTGCGATTTGCTCATGTAAACGTGTCGAATTATCGTCACTTTCGCGAACGATTCGAATCGTAAATTTACGGTTATGGTTCACCGACCATGTAAACTGGGTAATTGACTGGTACATTGTCATATAATTTAACAACATCTGCACTGAAGAACATGCTGCCCTCTGGTAACCCTTCTGCCAGCGAATGGTTAGAAATATTTTTAAAAAGTTTCTGGTGTTCCACAGATGAGTGGGAACAAACCTCAAGAGCTGGTTAAGTATTTTCTCTAAAAGACAGGAAGTTTTTTCTGTATGACCGCTGCACGCAGATATGACAGGTCTAAGGGGCACCGCAGGTTTGTGATCTTTAGGAAGCCCATAGAATACAGGCGTTCTACTGTGTCTAATCTTTAGCTAATCTAGCTAATCTAATCTAATCTGTGTCAAATCTCTAGCCTGTCCAAGGTTACAAAACCCTTACACTCATCGCTCTGTTTAACTATGATATCATCGTTTTTGCTAAAGTATCTGGTAGAGTCCCGCCGATCTACAGTGACATTCAGTTTGCCTACTTCATGTTTTTGAACGTGCGCAGCGCGTCATCCCTCATTCTTGGAAGGTTCTGGAAGATTCTTACCGATGTCTGGAAATCTAAACAACACGTTTGGGGTGCGACCTCGATGAAACTGATCTTCGTTGTGATCGTCTGCGCGTGCCCCACCGAGGCCACAACGTGCGTTCGCGGGTTCTGATAGCACTGTTGCGTCGTCTATTGAAGGCGATCGATCTTGGGCCGGTGCAGTTGCATTGCTAGTTGTGTTGCTGTCATTACGGAATTTTGAGACATAGTCTTTTTGCTAGCTTAAAATCGTTTGCATGTGTAGGTGATACCTGACGCGCGATGTGCCATGTCTGTTCAGTTGAAGTCGTTTGCATGTATAACTGCTGAGCGACGTGTGGTGTCTGTTAACTTCAACTCGCTTGCATGTTTGGGTGAAGCGTGATGCGTGATGCCTATTTGCTTAAATTCGTCTTCATATATACGCATGTTCGCTCATTCTAATTCTTGGGTAGGCACTGTGTCGTGGTAATGGCTGGCAATCGCTTTGTTTAATCCCCTGAATGTTTGTGTCCTGTAATAACTGTGGCCTGCTTTTTTACAACAAAAAAAAAACAACTGGAAAGTCGAGTAGGATAATTGGCAAGCAATTTTGAATTCACATCTGCTATTTTTTCGATACAGGCATATTGCCGAAATATCAACCCAGCTTTATCTCCATTCTCATGGCTTTTCTCCGAGGAATAAGGCAAATAATACGGCCTTATCTATG